GCAGAGAGAAGGAAGGACACTTATGGGAGGCACAAAGGAGAATCGGCTCGAATGACAAATAGGCAAAGGAGGGAGATGTGAAGGTGCCTAAGATGGAGTAGTAGTTCTGTGGGCCAAGATGGAGTAGTAGATCTGTGGGCCAAGATGGAGTAGTAGAAAGGCATTGTGAGGCTACTGTCTCCCTTCAATACCAGGGGGTAGGGCAGGGACCTACCTGGACAAGCTGACCTGGAGGGAGCCCTTCTCCACTGGTCTCCAGGGGCCTGTTTTAAGACATGGCCCATGGGGTCCCTGGCTCATGGCACTGATCTGGGGGCAGGGAGAGGTCTTGAGAATTCAAAGCCAACTGTAGATTTGGGGACTGGAGAGTGTGTGCATATGTGCATTTATGTGTATACATCGTACGTGTGTGAAGAGGTCACCCAAAATCATTACCGCGGACAACTTTGGCTTAAAGAGATGGCTCCAAGCAGTTGGGGGTAGGGACTAGCATATATATCCAGAATTAGAGGGAGGGTAGCAGCAGTCAGGAAAATGTTAGATCAAAATAAGAGGAAATCATATCTATTTTCATACTGAAAAACTGATATACAAGTATCCTGGGTATGTATATAATTTCATATTTAATATTTTGGAGAGAAAAATATCACTACCATTAAAATCCTTGTGTTACGCTTATTCATACCACATGGGACACCAGTCAGGACTGCCAAAACCAGTGTGGTTAAGGATGGCCTCTAATCTTACGTGACCTACCAGTCCAACAACCCTGTCAAAAAAGGGAAGGAGAGGCTGGCAGGACTTCATCTTAGAGGACTCATGTTGACTCCTGGTGATCACCATTTACTTCCCTTTCTAAATACTTCCAAACTCCCTAGAATACAATTTTCCTGGGTACTAGCATGTAGCTCATTAGTCTGTAGCTTTCAGAATTCACAAAATTGGGAACTGCTGAACCATGGGATCATGGGTGTGAAAGAAGTACTCTTCCTGACAGTGGTAACTTGAGCAATCACAGGGGTGAGAAGGGAGTATTTGTCCCCAAACTCCTTGGTCGACTAAAGGAATGACCACAGGCCAGCCAAAATTGGCCTTCATAGACCAAACACGGACCTAGAAGCAAGCCCAGTGACAGCTGGCCTCAGTTCAGCAAGGAGATGAATGTGGGCCAGGCTACTCCTGAGGGAGGGGCTCACAAAGAGCCCAGCTCCCACACCTGGGCCTAGGCCAGGGACCCAGGATATCTAGGGTATGAATTGCCCTTGTCTCTCAAAGAAAGGGCCCAGCTCCAAGATTTTGGGTCTTTCTAGACCATCCTGGGCTAGAGGCAAGTGTGCATCCTTTTGTTCCCCACCAAACCCACACTGGCCACCAAAGCAGATAGGAGAAGATGGCATAGGAGTGGGAAAAGGGAGTCTCTTGGCAGCTCCAAATCAAGTTCCCTCACTTAACCGGGCCTGGCTCAGTCAATGAGAGAAGCATCAGATGGAGAAGGTCCAGGGGATCAAGATGGAGAGCGGGATCGACTAGAAATAGGGTGCTAGGGGCACCCACATCTACAGAGAGCCTTAGGTTTATCTTGGGTAAGGTTGAGGCCTCTGGTGGGGAAGTCACCCAACCTTTCTGCAGCTGCATTCCCCCTCTGTAGAGGAAGGGGTTCCAAGGTCTCCAAGGGCCATCGTAGTGGTTCTGTAGGGGCACCTGCTGCCCACAGGTGGGAAGAGGGTCCTATTGTTTGCCACCCCATGTCCCAACTGCATCTGGCTCACCTTATCTGGTCCTAGGGGAGGCTAGCATTTGAGAGCAAGTTTGGTACAGACTGACCATCTCAACAGCCTAGCCCTGGGAGGCCTAGGTCTTGTCCTACTTTGGGGAGTGGAACATGGAGGTCTGGACTCACCAGCAGGTTCTAGACCTGGCCTCTGTATCTGAAGAAGGCCTGAGAGTTCAGAGCAGCATCTCCAACAATGTCCCTACATTCTAGAGCAAAAGTTTACCAAGCAAAACTCGAGACAGCAAGGGCTCTGGGAGTCCTTCCGATGAGGGCAAGGAAAGGAGGCCCAGTTTTCACTTAACCAAACCCCATCATCCATGTCAGGAGTGTGTCTGGGGAAGAACCCTCTCTCTGCCACTCCCACCTCATCTACACAGTCCCATAGATCCAGTTCTGGTTCTCCATCACAACCTCCCTTTCCTTAGCTGGTTCCAGGTTCACAAGCACCAGAAAGGAGAAAAGTTCTGCTTTCCCACAGGCCTGAGCAATTAACATTTCTCCAATTATTTAGATCTCTATTTGTGTAAAGATTGTTTTATAATTATGTTCATATAGTTCTTGTATGTGTATTGTCAGGTAGACTTACAAGTATTTTATACTGTCCTTGATTATCTTAAGTAGAATTTCTCTTTCTATTTCTTCCTGCTGGATTTTATTGTTATTTATAGAAATGTTGATGATTTGTGTGGTTTATTTTATATCCTGCAACTTTGCTGAAGTTAATTGTTAATTAATTTTTTTGTTGATGCTCCAGAGTTCTCTAAGTAAACCATCATATCATCTACAAAAAATAATAAACTTTGTTTCTTCTTTGCCTATGCTTATTCCTTTGATTTCTTTTTCTTTTCTCGTTGCTATAGTTAGCATTTCAAGTACAATACTGATAATGGACAACCTTGCTTCACTCATGATATTGCTGGAAAAGCTTTTAAGCTTATCCAAATTACGGATAATTCTGGCTCTTGATTTTAGATAGATACTACTTGTTTTAAGGAAAACTTCATTTATTCTTATGTTTTCTAGTTTTTTTTTTTAAACAAGAATGGGGTGTTGTATTTTGTCAGAAGCTTTTTCTGCATCTATTGAAAAAATCATGATTTTTTTGATTTTGTTATCAATATAGCAAATTATGCTTATAGTTTTCCTAATATCAAACCAAACCTGAATTTCTGGCATAAATCTAGCCTACTCAGAGTGTTTGATCTTTGTGATACACTGCTACAAGAAAGGCCTCTTGTGATAGCTGGAAGATGTACCTGGAAGAGAGCTATAGGCTCCAGGAGGCAGGAATGGAGGCTATTCCAGGCGTGGAGGACAGTTTCTGCAAAGACTGGCACGGAAGAAATGCCAGGCATGTGGAAAAGCAAATGGCCCAGTCTGACTGGAGCATAGAATGCATGAGTCACAGTAATGTGTAATCAGCTTGAAAATAGAGATTGCAGCTATATTGTGAGGGGCTTTATTATTATTATTATTATTATTATTATTATTATTATTATTATTATTTTTGTGAAGGGCTTTAAATGCCAAAAAAGAATTTGTATGTTATCCTCCAGACCACAGGAGCTACTGACGCTTCTTAAGCAGAGCAGTGACTTGGTCAGACCTCTGCTGTAGAAATGTCAATTTGGAAGCCGTGTGGAGCATTGTTTGGAAAGGAAGACACATGGAGGGGAGGCTATTGTAGTAGTCCAAGCAAAAATTGATGGTTTGAGGCTGGTTTAGAGCAGTAACTATATAAATAGAGAGAAGTGACTGACATGAGATATATTTGAGATGGAGAATCAACAAGATTGGCTACTGATTGAATGAGGGATAAGGAAGAGGGAAGAGTGGAGTATGATTTTTAAGATTGTGAACCAGAGTGGTTGGAAAGATGGGGGTTCCTTCAACAGAAATAGGGAGGCAATGAAAAGAGGAGAGGGTTTTGGGGAAAAGATAATGAATTCTGTTTTTTTTTAAATTTTTTAAAATGAATTGTTTTATGTATGTTGGGTTTTGAGGTGCCCATGAGACATCTAGGTGATGATATCAAGCATACTTTTGGAGCTATGAGACTGGAAATCTGGAAAGAATAAATGAATTTGTAGATGACTGAAACTTTGTAAAGTTTGTAAAACTCTTAATATTCTAAGCCTGATTCATATTAACTCCACTCTAAGAGGTGGTAGTAGTACACTGTGACTATTTTCACTTTAAAGAAAGACTATATTAGCAGGTCTTTGTTTTTTTAGAATTCATTTCAACCCTTTATCTTCAATGTTGTGCATATGCTGGAAATTCACATTATGATAACAACAGCTTGCTGGTCTATTGCAACTTTGTAATTTAAGAAAGTTATCTCATTTGATATTCACAACAATTCCATGCTGAATTAAGGAAGGCTGTGATTGTGCTTTCTGGGCGTTTCTTCGAGTTTGCGCATATAGGGAAATGAGTATCTCTTCTAAGCTGTATAGATTTCCTCTAACAATCTAGCTTGTCATTGTATTGTTAAATTGAAACTCAGATCTCCTAACTACAACCATCATTAAGGCATTGAGGCAATGAAAAGAGGATCTGGCATCAGGGATTTAGGGTCAAATCCCAGTTCTCTTACTTATTACTGAGTGGCTTTGCCTAAGTCACTTAACTTCTCGGGACTCAGTTTCCTCATTTGTAAAATGAGAAGATAGACCTAGAAGACTTCAAACACCCTTCTAGCTCCAAATCGATGATCTACGATTACGCAGAAATACTTTGGCTCTGTTTCCCAACTGGGAAGTTGAACGTCTTGACAGAACGTACAGACATTTATTCAATAACTAAGTATACATTAAGCGCCTGCTACGTGCCCTAGGAACCTTTGGTTTCCTGAGACTATGCTGACGTCACACAAAACGCAGCCAATTATCTCGCGTTCCGTTCTTTTCATTCTTTCCTCCATTCCTGTGGTCTTTTCGTTAGTGCTTTTGCTTCTGCATTTTCTTTTTAATCCCATTAAGGCACCATGAGCTATGTGTATATTACGTAAGACTAATGTTGCAAGGTTCCACATAAAACACAAAACCCTCTCGTGCACAAGCGGACCCCGGGGAGCGGCTGCAAGGCCGCTAGCCCGCCTGCGCAGAGATAAGACCTCCTCCTTAGCAGGGGTCACCCAGTCTGAAGGGGAGTGGGCGGGGCCAGACTCGCGCACGGAACCGACCCTGCCTATCCCCGCCCCGTTACGTCACTTCCTGCCAGGCTCCCTCGCCAGGCATTGTGGGTGGCCGGCCGGGGTCTCCTGGAGACGACCATGGCCGGGGATGCGGGAGGTCGCGGTTGCCCAGGGTCGGAGATGCTCCTGCACCCGGAGTTGCTGTCCCAGGAGTTCCTGCTGCTCACGCTGGAGCAGGTGAGGCGCCCCCCGGCCAGGCCAGGGAGTGGGGTCCGCCGCCGCGACGCTGGCCCTCGGAACGGGTCGTGGTGGCGATCGCAGCCGCTCCCGGGAGCCCCGGCGGGCGAAGGAGGGAGGCCCTCGTGTCCTCGCCCGAGGCTTGCCTGGCGACCGCTTGCCACACCCCTCGGCGTCTGATGGTTTTCTGGACGGCGAGGGCGTGCGGGCCGCCTCTCTTTCATTCATTCCACCTGAGCTTCTAGGTGCCTACTGCAGAGGCCCGGGCAGGCCTGTGGAAAGAGGCCCGGTAGGTGAGGATGGAGGTGGGGCATTACCATAATGATAAGAGCCCATCTATCCATGGCACTGCCTCAGACCAAGCCCAGGACGTAGTTGATGCAAGTCTTATATCCCATTATCCTGGTGAAGAAACTGAGACTCAGGGTCTTAAGGGATTTGCGGAGGGCTGGTAAGTAGTAGACTAAGTCCTGTATTCTGACTTTAACTCCAGCACGTATTTTACTGCAACATGTTGCTTCGCGGAAGGAAAGGAGGAGAAAGGGAGAATAGGAGCCAGGACAGAGGGAGGAAGTGAAAAAGAAGAAAAACTGAGGATATAAAAGTAACTACCAAAAATGTCTCTGTCTTTGGGTAACCTACCTTGCCATTGCCTTGTTTATCCCTCTTAATTCTAGGGCCTTCCCTCTGTTGATTGTTTCCAATTTATCCCCTAGATAGCTTCTTTGTACATAGTTGTTTGCATCATTTCTCCCCTAGTCGATTGTGAGCTCCTTGAGAGGGGACTGTCTTTTACTTTTCTTTGTATCCCCAGCACTTAGCACAGTGCCTGACATATGTTAGGCACTTAATAAATTGAGGGTCTGACACTTGAGTTAATTTCCCATGTTTCTTTTTTTCCCTACTCAATCATATAGACGGTTATGTTAAAATAAGTAGAGTGTTGTAAGGGGGGAAATACTGGATTTAGAGTCAGAAAAATTGGGTTCGTTTATACCAGTTAACTAGCTGTAAAACTAGGTAAGTCATTTCACTTCTCTATGCATCAGTTTCATCATAGGTAAGGTGGTAATATTTGTATTACCTACCTGCTTGATAGGCTTGTTAATCAAATGAAACAGTGTCTGTAAAACACTTTGTAACTATGAAGGTTTTACATATTGTGCACTTATGTTTATATTATCTAATGATATATTTTCTAATGAAGATCTGAAATCCCAAGGTGTTTTTTTTTCTTCCAACTGTTTTTAAGTTGGTAAAGGATTTAAATTTGTAAGAAAGTTATGGTTCATCATAGAGGGAAAAAATAGATCAGAGCAGTTTGTGTTCATTTGGAGAAATGGCAAGTTTAGAAGTGGGTGACACTTTTGAACAGTTATGCTAAAAGATATCACTGCACTTTTAGGTCTTTCTGGAAAGAATTAGGGGTAGTGTCACTTAATTTCCCATTCCCACTTCAGCCTGTATTCTTGAATCAGCTCTGAAGAAATAAGCATATCACCCTCTTAATTGAATGTTGTTAAAATTTGAAATTCCAGTGTCATGTGAAGCTATATATTATTCTAGAACACAGGGATCGCTTGAGGGAAGGGCTTGTTTCATTCTTTGTGTCTTCATCCCCCAGTTCCTAGCGCAATGCCTGGTGCCTAGTAGGCACTTAATAAATGCTTGTTGATTGATTCTTTGAACTTTTTCATCCCATATACCCCTTGAGCCCTGTAAATGGATTGGGAGTTGGGTAGAGGTAAGACAAGATTGCCATTCTGTTGATACAAGAAAAAAGTTATGGTTATATCTTGCCTCTTGTTTTCCAGAATAGTTACGAGCAGAAGGGAAATGAGGTGACAGAGAGAGGTATAGTTAGGATGTTTGGATGATGGGTAGGAAAAACAAAACCAAGTCAAACCAAAAAGCAGTACTTGATAGTGTATACAGAGCAGATTGCTCTAATGATATACTACTGCCAGCCTCAGAAATAGTAGTTTGATTCTTATACCTCCTGCAGCTATCGTTGATCTAAGGGATATAAGGAATAATGCTTTTAAATGCCGGCATAAACGATGTACTAGATCAGGTTGTCCAACACAGAATGGAGGCTTAGTGGCAGTAAATAAAAGTTTTGAGGGAGGATGTAGTAGATAGTCATTGTTATACTTGGTAAAATTTATGCTATGGAACATTATCATTCTTTTTGTTTTGTGTGGCTAAAGTGACTAAGGTGTGGTGCTAAGCAGTCTTTTTGCTTGTAAAAGTAGTCCAGGTTTTAGCTATAACTGCTTTTCTCAAACTTGATACTGCTGCAGTGCTTCTTATGTTTTTTTACTATGTGTATCTGGGTCTTTTATAGTTGTTGTTAGACTTTTTTAGGTGAGCAGAGAAGGAATGGTCTAAAAAGCTTATTTCATTATCATGTTAACTTTTTGAAAATTTCCTTGTTCTCTTTTCCACAGAAGAATATAATTGTTGAAGAGGAAATAAAGATCAACAAAGATGACCTTACTGATCTCTATGTTCAACATGCCATACCATTGCCTCAAAGGGAATTACCAAAAAGTAGATGGGGGAAAATGATGGAAAAGAGAAGAGGGCAAAATGAATTGAAAAATGAGCATAAAAGGTACTTTTGTAGTGCTTCTGGTTTTAATTTCATTTCATATGGTTTGCACCTTTGAAAATATTTAAGGTACTAAAAAAATGTATGATATAAAGGTAGCAGTACCCAGTCAAATGCCTTCTTTCAGGAATGGAGGTTTGAAATTCTATAAAATGGAAGAAGTATGGTTCAAAACTAGTTAGTGTTAAAAATATCTGGGGGATTCAGTGATTGCAAGCTCAGTATGAGTTGATAGTGTGACATGGAAGCTAAAAGCTAGTAGAATCTTGGACTTCATTAAGAGAAGTACAGTGTCCACAATGCCTGCCCTGGTCAGATCCTATCTAGAATATTGTTTTCAGTTTGGTGTACCACATTTTAGGAAGGATATTTGTAGGCTGAATCATGCCCAGAGGAGGGTGAGCAGGCTGTTTAGGGGTCTGGAAACTTTCATAGACAACCCGCTTGAAGGAACTCCAGATGTTCAGCCTTCAGAAGAGGAAACTTGGTGCAGTGGAGCTGTGTAAGGATTTGAAGGGCTGTCATGTGGAAAAGAGATAATGGACCTATTTTACTTAACTCCAGAGGACAGAACTAGGAGCAGTGGGTAGAAGTTGTGGAGAAACAGCCATAGGCTCAATGTAAGGGAAAACTTCTAACAACTTAGGGCTGCCTTAAAATGTAATATTAGGTTTTCCTTTCATCAGAGGTCTTTAGGTGAAGATTTGGATGGCCATTTGTCAAGGATGTTTTAGAGAGACTGTTCCAGTTTAGGTACAACTTGGACTAGTCCTGTCTTCCTCTAAGATTCTATGGTTCTGAGATTGTCAGGGCCTGTGTGCTGACAGAGCTGGGCATTGGAAAAATAGGCTTTAGGATTAGGTTCATCTTTCCATTTTACTGGCTTTCTGTCCTTGGTTCTGTGCATTTTCATCTGAATCACTTCCAGATTGGTAGAGATTATCTCAGAGGCAGTTGCAAACCATGGAAGCCCTTCCACCTCTCTCTCTGCTCTGTGTCTTTTTATAGGGGCTGACAGAGGCTTATCATTTTTTGGTACCTGTTCTTATGTAGGTGGTGCCTAATTCAGGAAACAAGGCATAACATTCTGCTTCAGTTACAGTACTTTGATGTTCCAAGGATAGTGCCATTAGTTCATTTAATTAGAGCATCCTGCTTAAGACACCATCATTGTTGGTTCCATCCTAGTGTGATTCAGAAAGTTTTGCTCTGTTCCTTAGCTACAGACTGCACAAGAAATCCTACCTAGACATCTCACAAATATATGCCATTGATCACAAGGTAACAAGACTAGGAGGGAAAGGTAGATTGATCATTAAGAAATCCGTTACTGCTATTGGAAAACAGCTCAAAGTCCTTGCCTCATTTACTGTTCGTTACCAGAGTCATCTTTATATACAGAATCCATCAAATTGTTAATGTATTAATATTGAACATTCTGTTATCATTATCTTGTGTTAGACTGGTTGAAAACTACTATTGCATAAAACCTAACTACATTAGATAGTTGGGCCTCTGAATGTAAAGCTTTTTGTTTGCTTGATGGTGAACGTGCCATTTATGTCACCGTTTGTCTTAAAGGTTATGTGATAAAGCAGTTTATGTGTTGCTATTGGTTTCCAGTAATTTGTAACAATATATACTGTGGCAGTCTTCTTTAGAGTTGTCAGTGAAAAGACTTTTTACACATACTTTGCTGTAGTTGCCTGTTTTGATTTATAACGTGACAGTTCTCACATGATTGACTCAGTGTTTTTTGAGCAAAGATTTAATGATAACATAGCAATGCTTAAAATCTGGCGTGTGAAAGTCCTGATTTGCTCAAAAAATAAACAGAGGGTGATTTTGGTTTATTTATGAAAGGCATCACAGTACAATTTCCTCCATCAAGCACCCTTTCATGCATTTAAAATTATTTGATTTATTAGGATGAGCTAGCTGACCACTTTTTCAGAAACAGATCTATTCCATAAATTTAGGCCCTTTATTCTGTTGGATTCACAAATGAATCTCGTGATCACCATTTATGATTGAATGTATAGATTAGCTACTAGGGATTAAAGTATTCCAGATACTGGATGTGATGCCACTAATAAGACTTTACGGCAAATATCCAAGGTACCCTTTCTTTGTATATCTTTTATTTCAGGAAATGGAATTGCTATGCCACATTGACCATAGATTTTGCTAACATTTCAAAGATTTAATGCAAGCTTACAATTCAATATCTAATCTAGACTATTGCTTAAGGCAAAGACAGCTATTTCTAAAGAACTAGGAGAGTGTCACTGACCTAAGTTTTTGGAGAAAGTTTGGTTCTTAGTGTAGATTTCCATTTTTAAAACAACCTCTGTATACCTTGTATGCACATTAAAGCTTGAATTTCAGTGTGTCACTCATGTATATATAAAATATTGGGATAAATTACTGATAATCATTTTCCTCTGTTTTGCAACTGTAAACCTGGTTACTAGTACTTAGGCATAGTTTTACAAATTCCCCTCACACACACAGTGCTTCATACCTCCTTTCCCCCCTTTAAAAAAACAAAATAGCTTATTTTGCATTTGAATTTCATTTAGCTGGTTTACTAGTGCAGATGCTATTTTTCAGGAGTTAAAAGGTTTCTTTATTTTTCAGGGATATAAGTGTGGAAGGTTTACGGAAAAGACCCCTCATTGTCTTTGATGGAAATTCAACAAGTACAAGCATAAAAGTGAGAAAGACTGAAAATGGAGCTAATGGTCATCTGAAGCCTCCTCCATCAGTAGGCATTACTAACAATACCTTTAGGAAGTTACCAAATTCAAATGCTTCCTCCCTTGTTCTGCCTTCTACCTTGCCTACAGACATTAAAGTGGAAACCAATAATGACACTAAACAGAACCATGTGCTAATAACTAGTAGGAGTACATTGGCCAATGTAAAATCATCACCTTTATCTCCTGTTGGTGGAACTACCGTTGTGAAATTAAAGAGAACTGTTCCAAAAGAAGAAGCAGAATCAGTGGTAGGTATATGGTGGTTTTCATACTAAATAAATGGCCTGAAAAGTGAGTGGTGAGGCTAAGATGTCACTTGTTCATCTTGGATCTATTAATGGTTGTTTTTCTTTTTCATTTTTGACTACTTTGAGGCTTGGAAAACTAAAAAATAACCATGGTTTCAATCTCTGTCTCATTCACTTTTGTATCCATTTATAATGTCTTTACATGAACTATTTTTAGGTCAGAAAAACACATTCTACTCTTACTTCTAACTGGTAGAGAGTTGCTATATGCACTCTCCTTTTTTGAGGACTGTTTAGAGAAGTCATTGTTATGTTGTATTCAGTTAATATAATTTAACATTTGGATGCTTGGAATTATCTTAAATTAATAAAATTGCCACAGTAGTGTAATATACTTAGTGAATGTATCTGGTAGATGTTTTAATCTGTTAGGTGAATATTTCGAGATGGGTTGGCTACCTAGGTAGTTCCTCTTCAAGAGTTTATTTTGTGATCCTTGTGTGTGTATACACATACTTATATACACACATATATATAAGCATACACATATACATATATATATTCACTATTCTTACAAAGAATTCACTTTTTAACAAAGGAGAATTTAGGTTAGCTCATTTCCCTAATTTGTTTCTCATTGTGCTTGTGGAGGTACTCTGACATTCTTCACAACTAACTGTTGGGTAGTGTTTTTAGTTTTAAGATTTATGAGGGTGGTGTCTTACTGATGATTTATTCAAACACCACCCTCATTTTACAGACAAGGAAGAGGTCTAGAAATCACTTTTATGATAGGGTTTTTTTTGGGGGAGGGATCACCCGGGAAAGCGTAACTCCAAATAGTACAGATAAAATAGAATAAGTCTTGTTAATAAATAAGACCTGTACAACTTAAAGATGGGCAAGAAGAAACCCACTACAAATATTATGGTACTTGGCAATTTAAGTAGCACTTGTATAAATAATATCTTTGCATCCACCATGAGGTTTATTCTTTTTGGAAACATGGAGAGGGTTTTAGACCTGTGATTTTATTGGTATAGGGAGCTTCTGGTGAAAAAAGCCCCTCCACCAAAGCATATTGGTTATGGCTTTGTTTTAGAATGTTGTGTGGGTCACAGAGAAGTTATGTGACTTACGTAGGGTCACAGAGCCAATATATCAGAGGTGGGACTTGGAACCAGGTCTTCCTGACTTTGAGGCTGGCTCTCTAGCCACTATACCATGCTGTCTCTCCTTAAATTAGAATTTGCCGTTAAATTTTCAGTTTTTTGGATAGTTAACTATGTTCCATTTTTCCAGCATCTGTGGCATTTATTTTGCTGAGCATGAAATAAAATGTATTTCCACCAGATGGCAGCAGAGATCCACCGTGTAGCACCATCTCCATAAACCTGTGGTTGTACATATTGTTTGTTTTTCATCGAAATATATATAATAATTTATTTAACCATCTTTTTTTTTCAGAGTGAATTAAAGCCCACAGAAGCAAAGAGGAAGATCCAGCATGTTACATGGCCATGAATGAATGGGGTTCCCCAAAATGTAAATATATCCTATAACCATAGATTTCAGAACAAAAAGGTCATATTTGTTGACCACTTTAAGTACTATATTTACAGGGATTCTGATTTCTGTGGAATTTTCTTAAAAGGTTTAAGAAAGCCTTGCAGATAAGTTCCAAAAATTTACCTTCCCCTTAAACATTCTTTTCTTTTTAATCCTTCCCTCTCATACAGTAGTGGTCAAATCGTTAAAAATCAGTATTTTTTACTAAAGGCCTGCTATATGTCATTAATCACCTTGGCCAATGGCTGTTTGCAAGTTTGATAATAAGCTTTCTGATTCAGTACAGAAATAATTTTCACCAGACAACTTCAGAGTATGTGACAATTTTCTAAGTTTTTGTTCATCTCCCACTCTTTGTTATAGCCAGTTTAGTGGGTTTCCTCCATCTCTGTGTGCTCAGTGGAAGAATGTTTGTCATATAGGTGTGTCAGCAAATATTACTAAACTAATTCCTAAGAGATCATCAAGTAAAATGAATTTATAACATGGCACTTCAGCATAATCAGAATTTACCAGTAAGCTGCTGCTACTTTCATTGATGGAACTAGTAATAATGACAGACTGGTTTTGTTATGAATTTATTAGCTATAATGATGTTTAATTTAAAGTTTACCCACCTGTGGGAATTTACATGTCACCTTTTTGATATGTTATGATCTTGCACTTGAGAATATAGATATCACTCACTGCAATTGAATTTGAGGTTAAAGAAATTTTGAACATACAGAAATGATCAACTCCTATTTAACTTAAAGGCCTATTAAAATAGTAGCAGCTGTTGACAGTGTGTGCTACTGTAGGCAACCCTATTAGATACTGTCAGTACTCCTAAGTAAGAAAGAATTGTATTAGGTGTATATGTAAAGGCAAGGAGAAATGGTCTGGGATGAGCAGAAGAAAAGATTCTGGAGCTAGAAATTTGCTACAAAGGAAATATGAATTGTCTGATTGAACTCTTAACTAGGTATAACACTGCTAGTATATTTGAATGGCCTGCCATGTGAGTGGCCTTTGTCTTAACTCTTTAATCACCAACCATTTTAATTTATTGGATAATTTGTTTCAGTGGGCACGCAGCTCTGATTTTTCAGTGAAAGCCAGTGGTAAAGAAGGATTCACTTTACATTAATATGCTTTACATCTAACTTTTCGTGAAAACATTGCTTATGTAAAGTACTTGTATGGTTGACCTTCAACTTGGGGTAGAATTTTTCTAATATTTTGTAGAGTAGTACCTTTACTTTTTGATGCTGAGCTTATTTATTTTAGTTTAGTTCTTGACTAGCCTTACAAACTGTAATTTACCTTTGTGGATAATACTTTTTAAAATTCCAACCCATGATTTCTTTTTTTAAACATACCCCCTTCAGCTCAAGCTGTATAACTTGTACTACGTATAGTAAACTAGATAAAGCCTAGGTGTTGATGATTTTTGGATATGTGGTAATCTGCAGGGCTGATTTATATGATCTTGAAGGACAACTACAGTCATAAATGTATGTGTTTGAGTATTTACACAATTACAAATTTGGAGTAATATGAAAGATTATATTTTGCATTCTGTAGTCACACTTAGCTTTTATTTCCATTTCTCAGTTGAGTGAAAATTATTCTATTGGCAATTCTTAGTCAATGGAAACATTGTAATTGCTTTTATTACTCAATGAAATTAATTTCTTATTTGTGTGTTTAACATACAGGTTAAGTTGGTAATAACAGCTGAACTGTGTAACACCATTTCTTCAAATTGAAGTTTATATTATGGTCATTCAGAGTAAATGCACATATGGCAGCACATTATTAAGCTGTTTTTTTCTGTTTGAAACATTGTGGAGAAGTCAGAATAGAAGAGTGCCATGCCACGTACGTATGAAATATGAGCATCTTCTCAAGGTATAGATGCACTTCCTCAATCCAGGAAAAACCTTTCTCCACATAATAATGTACATTAAAGGACAGGTGTTGGGGTATAAAAGTGTTGGAAGCTCAACGTTTTAAATTTTTGTGTAGTGTGTTTATGTCTCTCTTTATGATGGTTTTAAAGGGCTTTGGAAGAACTTGGTTTGAACTTAGAAGAACTTTTTGGATCATCCTTTATTCACTAACATTTTTCAAGTCTAAGTTGTAGTTTCTAATTCTCCATCCACAAGAGCCAGATTCTCTTAGTGTAGGGGTAGGCAATGTGGTATTGGTGTCACTGTGTGGCCTGATGAAATTTTAGTGGCATTGTGTCACTTTTCTCCCATCATATATACCTTTTTCTTTAATTTTTTTTATTCCTTTTTCCTTCTTCTTGAGTTTTCCTTTATTTTCATCCATTTTTTTCCCCTTCTCCACTGCCTAAGCTTGAGTCTTGCCAGTTGCCCTTATGGGCATTTGGTCTGTTGATGACATTGAGGGCAGAAGGGATTACTTGCTCCTGCCTTCTCTCTAAGCCCTGGGTATTCTTTCACTTTTGAGCCACTCAGTTCCTGTTAACTACAGATAGCATTATACAGATATACTAAATAGCATCACTGGTCTAAAAAGTAATGTGCCATTTAAAAATCTCATATTAAAACCTAGAAAGTTACTAGGCACTAGGAGAAGCTGGCTCAACTAATATTATGACCATGATCTGTATGTCTTTATTGAAGCTCTCACAATGTGCTTCTTTACTTAAGCTGTGGAAGAGGGTCCTAAAAGTGATCTGAAAGCTCATGAAGTAGCAATTACTTTTTTTAAGTTTACATTAAGTAAAAATACCAATAGATTGTCATAAATAGGTGTTAGCTTCCCTTCTTCACTATTGTGGATTTTCAATTACATTTAGATGCTGTAAAATGGTCAAAATGTTCTTTTTTAAAAAGTGTGCTCTTTTACTAAACATTTGTGCAGATTTTGTACTTCAGTACAAGAAAGTTTAATATTGTAATGTACATTTTTTTGTATGTAAAGATTCTTTTAAGTAGCCTTATCCTTATTTAAATAAATAAAATTAATTCAACTCTACTTTTGAAGAAATCTGTTATTTGTCACTTTTTTTTTTTTGGTGAGGCAATTGGGGTTAAGTAACTTGCCCAGAGTCACACAGCTAAGTGAATGTTATGTGTCTAAGGCTGGATTTGAACTCAGGTCCTCCTGACTCCAGAACCAGTACTCTATCCACTGTGCCACCTAGCTGACCCGAAAAAGTCTGTTATTTCTAAAGCATGTTCTACTAACATGTGAATATAAGGTGACAATCCTTTTTATTTTAATCAACTATCCTAAAAGAAGAAATGTTTAGATTTTTATAGCACAGATTTCCATATCTTAATTGGAATATGGTCCAGATTTCCTGAAATGCCGATAATCTTGACATGTCTCAGGTCCCAGTCCTCAGCTCCCAGTGGGAGAAGAACTATAAAGGGCTGGGAATAGAGATGCATTCTGCTATAGAAATTGTCACATGGGAACTTGTTCAGCCTCTTTACAATTCCAGAGGGATGGGCTGGAAAAATGCCTTTGTGTGAACTAGCTCATTCAAGAAGATAAAAAATAAATCAGGGATACATAGATGGGGGGAGGGGGACAGGATAAATTGGTTTGCTCTGCATTTTAATTTCTATCCCAGAATTTTAAGTATTATAAAGGTCCTTTTATTTATATTTTTAGTTAATTTAATAAGCATTTATGTTTTCCTCGCATCTCTTCACTTCCCCCTTGAGTGAGTAGGGAACCTTGAAAGAAGTATACATAACTGAGCAAAAAAAATTCCCACATTAGCCATGAATATCTCATTCTACATCTTGAGACTAAACCCCTGTCAGGAGGTGGATAACATTTTTCATTATCTTATGGAATTGTGGTTGGTCATTGCATTGATCATAATTCTTCAGTCTTTCTAAATTGCTTACCTTTACAGTGTTATTTTATAAATTTGATTCTGTTCACCTCACTCTGCATCAGTTGAATGAAACTATCTCTATCATCATTTCTTATGGTGAAGTGATGTTCCATTATATTACAGTTGTTTCAAACTCAAGGTCAGCACAATTCCATAGTGCAGCCCGAACCAAATTAAAATGCAAAATTAAGGTTGGGAAATGTTTAACAAAATAAATAAAAATACAATGTAACAAAAATTATTTAATTTGTGGTTTTCTAAGTCAGTGTGCTGAAGCAAGAATCCTTATCTATTTAAATGTGTCACAACTATATTACATTTATATTACTTAATTTCTTCTGCCTTTCACAGTTAATTCCTTCCCCCTTAGTTCTTTGCCTCTATTAAAGATTACTGTAAATACTTTTGCACATATATATCCTTTTCCTCTCTCTTTTGGGGTATAGGCCTCATTATTGGTATTGCTGTGTTAAAAACATGCACACTTTACCAAGTTTTAGCTAGTTCCAAATTGCTTTCCAGGATGGATGGACCAATTCACAGTTATGCCAACAGGGTGTTAAATGTGCCTGTTTTCCTGTAACCCCTCCAATGTTTGTCATTTTCTTGATTTGTCAGCTTTGTCAATCTAATGGGTGTGAGGTGGAACTTCACATCTGTAATTCTCTGATTATTAGTGATATGTCGTATTTTTTCATATAGCTATAGATCTAGGTTAGATTTCTTCCTTTGCACAACTGCTTGTTCATATCCTTTGATCATTTATCAGTTAGAGAATGATTCATTATAAATTTGAATCAGTTCCATATTATCTTGGAAATGAGATTTTTATCAGAGACCTTGTTGCAAAGATTTTTGTGAAGGTCCTTTTTTAAGTTTATATAAAATTACAAGCTGCTTCAGTGTATTCTAAATTATTAGTTTTTTGATGCACCTAGATCCATAATTTCAGTAATATGGCCTATTCCCTCCAGATGTGCAAAATAAAACCCTTCCATTTTAATGTAAAATGAGTATAATGACAGAAGTTAATAATCTGAAATTTTTCAAATAAAATTAGTCTTTAGACAAAATATTTTTCCATTAACATGTATTTCTGTGTTGGTAATTCCTATCTTCCTGAAATTTAGGAAAATGTCACCAGTTGTACTGTTAGAGAAATATATACTATATAAAACATAACTGTCATTTATGTAAGCCTATTCTAAATACTTTACACTTCTACAAAATGAAATTAACACTAGTGTTGTTAGAGTCGTAATGATGGGAGACATAATAGCTTTATCTCAGTTTGAGTCTCATTTGAATTTTGACTACACAATCAGAATGGAAGCCAACAAATTTGAGGGTCTGGGAGTAGACAAGACATTGCATAATGTTTTATTCAATGGCTACTTTCTCTTGGTGTTATTTCTTAATACCTTAAATTAATGGTCAGGTTATTAATGGGTGAGACTACAAAGACAATTTGTGCACTGCCTCTGGATTCAGAAGACTTGGGTTCAAATCTTGACTCTGGTGCTTACCACCTCTGTGACCTTGGGCAAATATCTGAGTTCTCTGGATCTCATTTTCCTTATCTATAAAATTGAGGAAGTTGGCCTTTTGGCTTCTCTTGAGATCTCTAAAGCTTTAATCCTTTGATTCTATAAAACCTGAGTGATTTTTCCCCTTATTTCCAATTCCAATTCCTTCCTAGATACTTAGCATTATAAACATGATGTGACTGAAATTTTACTATTGACATTTTTAAAGAAAAATTTCCAGGAGGTCTTAAAATGTCAGTTCCTTAATTCATACACTGTTTCAAATATATAGTTTCTAGACAGACACTTTACTCCCAAATGTCCATAACATCAAAAAATTATGAATATTCATTTTCTTGGTCATCTTTTGTAATGTGTAAGAATTTTTATATTATTTTAATTTTTAATTCTTTTCCTTCAAAGCATATCAAATAAGTAAATACCAAAATGTGGCATCATGGTAAGATGGGTAATAATCTAATTTTAAAACTTCATTTATAAGTAGTTTCAGTCTTACTCAAACCGTTAAACACCATTTAACTAATGATTACTTTCAGATGTGTCTACATCAATAATTATATGGAGAGAAAAATAAGCCCTTGAAGTATATGCTTTCCAGCCATCATGTAGAAAAAAATGTTAGTGCTTAAGGGCAGCTAGGTGGCACAGTGGATAGAGTGCCAGGTCTGCAGTCAGGAAGACTCATCTACCTGAATTCAAATCCAGCCTTGGACATTTACTAGCTGTGTGACCCTGGACAAGTCACTTAACCTTGTTTGCCTCAGCTTCCTCATCTGTAAAATGAGTTAGTGAAGGAAATGGTAAACCACTCTAGTATCTTTGCCAAGAAAACCCCAGTAGGGTCTCAAAGAGTCAGACACAACTGAAAAAATGGCTGAACAACAAGAAGTTAAGTGTTTAAAGGAACCTTAGTCCATCTCCCTCATTTTACATATGAGGAAACCTAGACCCAGAGAGGTGCACACCAGATTAGTGGCTGAAGTGCCACTTTAATTTAGGTCGTATGGCTCTAAGGCCAGTATTTTTGCAACTATTCTGTAGTGCCTCTCAATAACATGTAGTTTAAACTCAGCAAGTGACTTGCTCATAGTAGACATTAAAAAAACTACAAAAACCCAACTTAAATTTGTTGAGCTGAATGGAATTAGACTGCTTCACAGGTAACCTCATGTAATGTGGGTATTTTGTTAACTTTGTAACTAACTCCACTGATACCATTCTAATATGACTGGTTATAAGTGGAATTACCTAAGTTAATGGAGTAGAAGATATGAGGATAATAAAATACAAGAAGATTCTATGACTTTGCAGTTACATTCAGAGATAACCTACCTTGTGCCCAACCTTCACTCTTTAATCTACTGTATACCCTTAAAAGCTGGATAATGAATGACAGCAGATTTTAGTCTTCATAGGTAAGTTATGAAAGATGACAGTTAATAGTGGATTTTAAGCTTACAAAGCAGTATGGTGAATTAAAGTCAATTCAGAGTGTAAGAATAACTCCCAAATCTCTACATCTGTCTCCAACCTGTTCCTCTGAACTCACATCCTCAGTCCTTGAACTACCCGCTTAACATCATCAGGAGGTTCTGCTAACATTTCAAACTCAGTGTATCTAAAAGCGAACTTCTCTTCATCTCCTCCAAAGCTAATCCTCACAACCTCACTCATTTTGTTGATGGCACTGAGGAATCACCCGTATTTGAAACACTGGATACATCTTTGATGTCCTTTTCTCATTCGGTACATCAGTCAGTTGCTAAATCCTATAAATTCTACCTTCAAAATATCATCCATTACCTTCTTCACTCACACTGTGACCACTTGGGGTCATGTTATACTTGCTTGGTTATTGTTCCAGCTTTTCCATGCCTGCAGTCTCTTCTCCGTGACAATCCATCTTTCACACTGCTGCCAAAGTAATCTTCCTAATTCAGAAGATAATCTCATTACTCTCTTTTTCAAACACTTTCAGAGGCTTTTCATTGTGTACAGGATATAATTCACACTCTATCCTGAGCCGGGTGGGAGGGGAGGAGGAGGGACCAAGGACTTCCAAAATCTCACCCCAACTTATTTTTCTAAATTTTCTATTTGCACTGTACATTCTAGCCAAATTCAACTTCTTACTATTGCCTGATTTTGATCCTGCCTTCTCCCCTGGATATTGCTTTATGCTGACTACCATGCCTGGAAGGGACTCTTCCCTACTGTCCTCCTCGAACCTGTTTTCCACTTCATGGCAGTTCCCCATCCTCTTAAAGCCCAACTTAGATGTTACATATTCCAAGAGTGCTGGTACCCCCAACTAGAAGTATTCCCTTCTCACTAGAATTTCTCACACTGCTCTTTTTTGACCTTGGAACATCAAACATTTATTAAATACTTGGCATGTGAAAGATATGCTAGGCAACAGATATGTAGATGAAAATTGGCATGGTCCTTGCCTTTTCCTAACGTAGACTGAAGTTGAATAGGAATAAGGACTTGTCATGTGCCTAACAAAGCATGATAACATAGGGGCAAAAGAAGGATCCAGACAAAGTGCCACAAAACATTTGAGGAGCCAGAAA